TTTCAATTTGGTATATTTCCAACAGATTTATTGGCCTGTCCATGGTGGATGTCCTGGTGGGACGCCATCATCGCTTTCTTCAACTATCTAGCCTGTAGCTAGTAGCCTCCGGTTAAATCTGGAATTTTCCTCTTGATCCCATCCTGAGCCATCCATGATGCCACAAGGTGACTAGAAAGTCTCCACTTCAAGATAGTGTACTGTTGGGGCCACTTCTCAATTTTGGGGCTATTCTCTTGATCCCACCTTGTTGTGCCGTCCACGATGTTGAAGGGTGACTAGGAAGTCCAGGAAACCTTTTTTTTTAACTGCACCAGCTGGAATTTTGGAGTTGGAGTTCACTGGCAGTGAAGGACAGAGCAGCACCACATGCTCCGCAGATACTAAGGTCAGATCAATTTTGATTATACTTTTGTTCCTGATGACCCAGTAGTGCGCAGCACCAAGTTGAACCACTATTCAAGTCTTACTACTCGTAACAACAGTTTTAATTTTATATTTGAAATACCACTTAACTAAATCATAATGGGAGTCCAGTCATTCTGTGAACCGGAAATATAGGCCTATATAGAAGGGGAATATCTTGAGATATCTACATTTTTTGTTCTGCTTAAGCATTTAACTTATACAACACTGAGGAAGTGATTTAATCATTGTTCTGCACAGTAAGGTGTTACTGAAGGTATAATTGAAATTGTGTGTCACATGAACCTGCTTCAAACATCTAAAGAATTATATTTCTCTGGTACAGTTATTTGGTGTTTCATTAGATTTTCAAATTCTATCCTCAATATTAAATTTTCTTAGTTTTCCTACTACTGAAAACTGAGTGGCGCCTGGCAAAAGGTCCCTAAACATACATAACTTCTTGAATCCACAGCCTGCTCCCAAACAACAGAGCTGCCGTGCCTATAACACAACTACACACTAGTCTTGCAATTTACTATTTATTATACAACATCCATAAAATAGCAAGAAAGTGTTATATACGTAATAAACTGCATGTAGTTTATCTATACTATTACCTTGCAGCAAAATACCTGCTAATCCGGCTGCACTTGCATCTGTGTGAAGTTCTGTCACATCGGCATTTGGATCATATAGCTGTAAAATAGGTTTTTCGCAGAGCTTATGCCTTAATTTATCGAAAGCATTTTGTTCTATCTCGCCCCACCTAAATGCATTATCTTTTCGGGTTAAATCACTTATCGGTTTTGCCTCAACTGCATACCCCGCTATAAATCTACGAAAATAGCTTGTCAGACCAAGAAATCTTCGAACCTCGTGTATATTTCTGGGCATTGGAAACTGTCTAATCGCTGCAACTTTCGCTGAACCTGGTTGTATGCCTTCAGCAGATAGAACAAACCCAAGATATTCAACTGATGACATTCCAAAGAAACATTTCTTCAACTTCAGCGTTAAATTGGCTCTCCTGAAAGCTTGCAACACCTGTTCTAAGCGAATGAACATATCGCTCCAATTCTTTGCTGGAATTAGAACATCATCTAAATAACATGATGCAACTTTATTTTTCAATGGCCCTAAAACAACATACATTAAGCGACAAAATTCGAACGGAGCGTTTATTGTCCTTTCTCGTCCGGTGTAACGAATGCAGTTTTCAACTTGGCTTCCTCTGTTAAAGGTACCTGAAGATAACCGTGAGCTAAATCTAACGTCGTGAATAATTTACAACCGCTCAAATTTTCGAACTGTTCATCCACAGTAGGTATTGGATATGTTCTGCGCTCGGTTTGAGAATTCAATCTTCTGTAGTCTACTACAAGTCGAGCTTCTCCGTTTTTCTTCGATACAAGAATCACGGGACTCGCATATGAACTATCAGTATCTGTTACGATACCGCACTCGCGCCATTCCTTTACAATGTCCGCTATTTCAGTTCGTTCTGAAAGACTTGCACGATATGGCTTGCATACTACCGGTTTATTGTTGTCTACTATGTCCATACGAATTAGATCTGTGCAACCCAATTCTGACAAATTGAATGAAAAGCAATCTCGATATGTATTGAAAAGGTTAACTAACCTGGCCCTAGTCTCTGGTTCGATACCTGATTCAATATTAATCATATCTTCAGTGATCAATTCCATTCCAGTGTCTACTCCACTGATGTGTGAAGAAATTCTTCCCAACTCCTGCATCTTCTTGACTCGACAGCTAGAACCTCCTCGATTCTCCAGCGGAACGCAGACTTGTTCTTCTCCCATCGTCGCAGTCACAAGCATCACAGAGTTTGCTGGAATATCCACAACTTCATTCGCAACCAATGAAATTGATTCACCAGCTTCATCTTGAATCATCTCAGGAAATGGCAATTCATCCTTCCAAAGGAACTTCAAGGTTTTGCCAACTCGGACATATCCCAAACAATCTTGTTCAGTAAAAGTGCGCCCTAGTATAACATCTATACTCTGAGCAGAATTTGGGACAACATGCATTGTCACGTTAGAGACTTTGATGTTATCGATTTCCAAAAATTCTCGTACGGCTTCTGAACTTTGAACAGATGTTCCTCCAAAACCAGACAAAACTATCGAATCATTTTCCACAGAATGATTCCCTTTGGTAACTGCATCTTCGGTGATAGTGCATACTGCACTACCAGTATCAATCAGCGCTTGATGTGGTATACCGTTTACTTTGACTTCGCGTATGAATCGTTTGACGTTTCTGTGACAGTTGCATTTGCTTGAAATTTAGTGCAATTCTTTTTGAAATGACCAGGTTGAAAACATCCATAGCAGAGTTGTTGTTTAGGTTTGTCGCATTTTGTTCTCAAATGACCCTTACAACCACAGTTATAACAAACTACCTCATGCCCTTTGCCCTCATTCGTTATTGGTCTACTCCTATCGTCGTTAACATATCTAGATTTTCTCATACGTTCATACACTTGCTCAAGAAGTAATAAATCTTGCCACAAATCATCAACCGTCAAATGATTTTTGATTATCAAATTTCCCGCTATATCTGCCTTATGCAATCCCTTCAAAATTTCACATTTTTGCTCTGCGAATGGTAGATTCAATTCTGATAAAAGTCTCACCTTATCATGAAAATAACTAGATATACTTTCCGCAGGATTTTGTATCCTACAACGCATTCTATCATTTCTATCCCAGCGATCCGCGGTAGAAATTGTTTGAATAAATGTTGATCTGAATTGAGATTCAAAATTTTCCCATCTAGCAATTCCCCTACCAACTCTATCAAACCACGCTACTGCCGGACCCCTCAAGTATGCGCGAGCAATATTAATTTTGGAAATGTCATCTAAATTTTGCAAAGTACTACTCAAATTGATCGTATCTAACCATTCTTTTGCTCTAAATCGCTCCCTGTCCCCATCAAAATGCCATAACACCGATGGTACTTGCGACACAACACACTGTGTATTACTGTTATTCAAAATATTCAACTGAGCTGTCATCAATTCTGTCATTTTGAACATCATATTTTGGAAATCTACCCCATGACTAATATTACTACTTGCTGCTGGAGATGTGCTCTCCGCATCATCAACCACTCCATTTGCCAGAATATTGGAATCAGAATCAGGATGTATCATTTTATCAGCCAAGACTACTTCAACTTATCTATAGACGCTTACCTACACCTCGAAACATGTACCAAACCAAACCCAACCTAATCAACGACTCAGCCTCTCTTCGTCTTGATTCTTCTGTCTGATTTCTAAAATGCACCTTCCTTTCGAACAGATACAACGTCTCGATAGAAATATTTGGCCGCGAAATCGAACACCACTTCTGAAGTGATAGTAAATACCCCTTTTAACGACGGCAGTATTTATTAATATAACCAAAATACATAAAATATCTCTCTCACGCACAGATTCAACCTTTCGATGATTGACAACCGAATTAATTAATTATCTTTCAAAAGTGACATCCGCTCTCAAAATGCCAAAATACGGGATGTTGTCGATGATATTGAATAAAATACCTAACAGTGCCTTCAATTTGATGAACTTCTATCAATGGTGGAACCAGAAACAAAGAAATTATATGTGACAACCCTGCAAATTTTGTCGCATGAGTATGAACGTCGAATTCTGTTGGGAATTTCATATTTTGCATAAATTTTGCGGGATTCGTGAAAGCATGAACCACATATATGAAGAAAAAGTCTTATTTTAATCCCAACAATATGTCATTGAAATATTCACATCGAATTTTGAATCACCCTATATTTATATTTAAGTAACTTCCTAGTTGCAGAATAAAGAAATATTATGTTCATAAAATGACGTAAACTTGATAACGTGAACACAGTGGATTTCAAATAGTATTTTCTACAAGTATACAGTTTGTCTCATAAAGTTGGCATATTGAAAATTTTTCACTCCCTTGATTCTCGATTGTTTGGCATAACAATAGAACTTTCATACAATTAAACATGTATTTATCAATAGAACCATCATCTCTTATGTATTTACCCCTGATAACCATATGTTTTTCGATAATTAGAGTCAGTAGCATGATAAAGCTAGTGCGTATGAAACAGTTTTGTCATAACTCTTTTCAATGCAGGAATTTTGTAAAAATAATATCAAAATCTTGAAACAACTTCTCTGCATGGAATTTTTTAAGATTCAGGCGAATAAGCTCATTTTCAGCGATTAATTTGAAAGAAAATAACTTTTGATATTTATAGCGTGACCACGACCGAATGGCCATTTTTTCTCCTAATTTGAAGTAATAAAACTAAACGCCTAACTCAAATTTCATAGACACTACTGTATATTGAAATAATAATAATATTCTTATTCCCATAGACGAAGTTGAGAAGTCCCAAAATTTCAGAGAAATACATTTTTATTGATCTCAAATAAACCATTTTCGATCTGAATGTAGTTCGATCAATTGATTTCTCGATGAAATGATTTCGATCAAATAGTTTTCTAGTAGATGTCCAGCAACCATTTTTTTCATACAAATTCTGTTTTCACTCCATAGGGCGCATTTTATGGTGCTGTCACTGGAATGTTAGTCATGGCGACAATCGTGATGGGAAATTGTTATTATAAGTCGAAGAAAATGTTGAGATACCCTGCGCAGCCTATATCAGTCGATGGTTGCTCCGTTAGTGGAAATTCAACTATACATCATTTGTGGAATGCGACTACGTCGAGGTAAGATCCTGAAAAACAATCGGATTTAAAATTGAAACCAATTCTGATTCAGGCAAATCATGATAGTTTCATGGTGCAAAAGATTCAGTAGTCGATTTTATCATCGTTCCCTATCCAAATAAAGAACAAATTAGAACGTCTCACAAATATGTTATTATCACTTCTAAAAGATTTTATCTCAGAAAGGTCACCAGAGGTACAATAAATTAACGTTTACAAACCTCCCTGGAAGGTTTCATTCTCATTGGGAACCTATACATACCTATATATGTAGTAATTCTTGAAATACAACCGTATATCTCCATGCAAGTATAGGTACTCTTTGATTTTCGTTTCGAAAAGATATTTTTTACAAACGCCAAAAAATGACAAGGTTCGCGCATTGTTAACAAAATTGCGAAGTGACACTTTTTTTTCAGTTTCCTACGTTACCATGATACCTTGATACCTTGTACAAAACAATGCGCGAAGTAAAACAGTGCGCGAAGTACCTACTTCGCGCATTGTTATGTAAAATAAATGAGATATTTATATTTCAACTTTATGGTCCTCAATCGAGCAAACATCCACGAAATCATTTATTTCTGAATGTTCAACAATAACTTCGTTTTATCTGTTAAAGGGTACGAAATTATGTTCGTGGAACATCGTGCGTACCTAGGGAGGATAGGGGGAGGCCTTTTAAGCCAGTTCAACATATGACAGTTATGACTGTCATTATTTATGTAATTTAAGACAAGTAAACTATCAAAAAACACACTAGTGTGTTATAATTCATAACTCACTATTATAACTCACGTTCATATTTCAAATAGTATTCTATTTATTAATGACTATAACAAGCAGGATTCACATTGATATTGAAATCAAACGAAAACGCTTACGGTTTATTCGAATTTGAAGTAATTGTAAAATTCGTTGGTTCATTGGAATCAGATGCTCCCATATCGGTACAGCTGCTGATAGTGGCTGGAAGACGCATTAGAACCTTGTATTTTTTTCTGCAATTTGTATTTTGTTATGCAACGATTCTTCTAGGTATCCTTCTGCTATCGTCGAGGACTTCCATCCTCCGTGACTCTTCAAAGTAGTCATGTTAGCCCCTGCATTGGCCAAAAGAGTCGCCGAAGACCTTCTCAGGCAGTGACCGGTGTAAAGTGCTGATTCCTCCAAGTTCAAAAACTTTGCAATTCTTGAAGGTATCTTCGACAACGTATTTATTCCCACACACTGGCTGGTACACCTCCCATTTTTGTTAAAAGAAGGGGCTAAAACTAGTATTCTTTGGTCTCAAAGACATGTATTTTTTACACTAATTGATCAGGTTGACTGGAAATCCTTCTTCAAGTATGGTAAAACTCCTCGATTTATTGGTTTTAGTGTCTGGCAAAACTACGTGAAAATATTTCCCTTTGTCTTGAATATTTTCTATTCTCAAATTGACCAATTCATCGCATCTACAAGCACCGCTAATCTCCATTATCTGAGCCACTTTCATCAACAAGTACTCGTCATCGGGAGCTTCGTTCAAAAACTTCTCTATTTCAGATCGTTCTAATGTCTTGGACTTCGTTGGTTTGTAACCCTGTGATTTGCTTTTTAAAAAGTTCTTTAGTTTACCATATTCTGAAATGTCGATTTTTTCATAAAGGTGAATAGTCGAGTAAAGTGAAGTCGAGTATTTGGTCCATTACGACTGTTTTTTTGCAAATGTAAAAAATAAGCCAATAGAACGTTTTAATCGATATCTTTTATCTTCCGTGCATTCATCCAATGAGACTCAAACATTTTGAACTCCTTGTCGTAAGCATCTCGGGACTCTTCTGGCAAAATCTGCATCGCTGCTTCTTCCGCTTCCGTAACGATATCCGCAGGAACGTGATTTTCATCGGTTTTCTCCATTTTCTATGCGCTTTTTTTCTTCAAGAAAGTTTTTTTTCCTGCAGGGAAAACTGACAAGTGTCAAAATGTATTTGAACATTTGCTAACAATTCTAACAATATATCATGCCGTGGCAGCCTAACAAACAACCTACTTGAACCAAAATGTAAAAAAGTCACTGTCAAGTAATTCTGACAATTCTAGGGTACTGAGACGCAGGTAGCTTTGATTTGATCACAAAACTTATTGATTATTATCTCATAAAAAATGATGTCTTTCACTTATTGGCAGAGTACAAGGCATACAGAAATAAGGTAAATAGATTGATAAAACAAACGAAAATGCATAACTATCAAAATAAATTCAACACAGTGAAAAATAATTGTAAAAAAACTTGGGAACTAATTAACGATTTAACCAACAAGGACTCCAAAAAAAAAAGTCTTGGGAATATCACTCTAAAAAATGAGGCAGGTGAACTTATTTCAGAAAACGAAGAAAAAACTAATTTACTAAATGAATACTTCATAAATATAGGTACTGAAATGTCAAAAAAATCGATAAAATCGAAAACTTACCGGCACAATTTCTCCAAGACAAGTCAACATTGTCAACAATGTTCCTTCAATTAGTTACCCAAACTGAAATAATCAATATTATATCTGAAATGAAAACCAATTGTTCTCCAGGTCCCGACAAGATTTGCACAAAAATTATAAAAAAATATTCATATCCACATTGTGCCACCGTTAGTTCACATAATCAATAACGTTTATAAAAGTGGTAAAATACCATCACAATGGAAGGAATCCACTGTCACCCCCATATTTAAGTCTGGTGATCGTAGTAACGTTGGAAATTATAGACCAATAGCTATAATCAATAATTTCTCAAAAATCTTCGAGCAAACTTTGAAAAGAAGAATTAATAAGTATTTGCATGAAAAAAATATATTGACAGATAGACAATTCGGATTCATCAATAATTCAAATACAGAACGAGCTGTGTTAGATTTTCTTGAAAAAACGGGCAGTGCCTTGGATAGATCTGAAAAATGCCTTGCAGTTTTTCTTGATCTTGCCAAGGCGTTTGATACCGTTGACCATGACAAGTTATTGGATAAGTTATATACGTGCGGCATTAGAGGACCCACACTGATATTGTTGAAGGATTATTTAACAAACAGGGTACAAAGAGTGAAAATAGAAAACCAACTGAGTGAACCAATGACCGTTAGAATAGGTGTTCCCCAAGGTACTGTACTAGGACCAATCCTCTTCCTCATTTATATAAATAGTATTAGCTCGATTAATAATTTCAAAGGCCACATCATATCATATGCTGATGATACGGCACTGGTTTTCAGAGGTACAACTTGGAATGAGGTAATTACTGAATCGGAGAGAGGTCTAAAACTCATTCAGGTATGGCTCAACTACAATCTCTTGAGTCTAAATGTAACGAAAACTAAATTTGTAACCTTCTCTTTATTACAAAATGAACAACCCGAAATACCAACTATTTTCATACATCAAAACAGCTGTGATAACTCTAACAATTGCAAATGTCCTGTCATAGAAAAGACCAAATCTATAAAATATCTTGGGGTAGTTGTAGACCAGTATCTAAGATGGGATGACCATACCACGTACGTAGCAAAACGGATCAGACAGTTGATCAGAAAAATGTATCTACTTCGTGATATTTTGGATAAGAAGAATCTAAGACTAGTATACAATTCACTAATCGAATCTGTCCTGAGATACTGTATTGCAGCTTGGGGTGGCCTGTTCAATAATTCTATGAACTTTCTACAAACAACACAAAACACAATTCTGAAAATAATTTTGAAAAAATCTAGACTATTTGCAACCAAAGATCTATACAGAGAAACTGGAATTTTGAAAACTAGAGAACTTTACATTTACCACTGCCTGATTTGGATTTTCACAAACAAACACAAATTCGAACCTAGTAACGTAATGAAGGAAACAAGATCTGTCATGAAAGCTTCAATCAAAATACCCATTTTCAAAAAGAGTCACACTCAAAGAGTAATTTTCTATTACGGTCCCAAGTTATTCAACCTATTGTCTACAAGTATCAAGATAATTACTAAACTACCGCATTTCAAAAAAGAAATAAAAAAATTCATTTCAGATAAACCAGAGATTACAGACATTTTCATTTGATCTTACAGTCGCTCTCCTTTTCTCATTTCTTCTCACATATTATTTCCCATTTCTCTTCCTGTTCTATGGTATTACTATTGTATTTATATTATATTAGAATAATATATTAGTATAAGTTCTTAATTTTCTCCACGATGGTTGGAACAGAGCACAACACAAGCATCCTGAATGCTCAGGTGTATCTTTTCCTTCCTGACTGGTTTTCCAAAGAATAATTTATCCACAAATTGTTACTTGTAACTGTTGCTATTGCTGAATAAATTGAATTGAAATTGAAAATTGAAATTGAATTGGATAAAACATTGAATGCCACTCTTGTGTTATGTTTCCTAAGTCACTTGAGAATTTATACTACTCGGCCTGAAATATTTCTCTCGTGACTTATTTTCAACATAACACACTAGTACCATAAATAACTATTTATTATATCTCTAATTGAATATATGTTACAGCAACTCGAGTTCGGTGCCATATGAAGTCCCCCAGGTCTTCCGGATATCCTTTTACTGGTACAGCCTGATGGGAGGCTGCATATGCATGACCATAGGGCTCCTCATCACCTACCTGCAGAGGGAAGAAGAGCCCTACGTGGCTCGAGAGCTCCTCAGCCCTGCGATCTACTCGATCATAGACCCGAAGAAGTACCAAAACAAGATGGGCCTCGACTACAGCAGTGTGGAGGAAGCTCTCAATAGAGTAGAGATGAACGGCAAGGAGAGGAGAAGATCTTCCAAGTGGGAAGCAGCGAGAGAAGAGCGGTTGAAGAAAATGTCCTTACCAGGGATAACTGATGTCATAGACGATTAACAACATTCTTAGTGTGATAATAGAGTGAATAAGACTTATCTATAAAATAATTGATGAAAATCAGTTTCCATTGCCGCAACAAGAAAATCTTGCGCTTGGGGTGCACTTTCTGAAATGAGAGCCCCACTTCAACTATAAGATTCATGATATGTATTATATACATCGTTTTTCCTCATCACATTCATTCAACAAGAATTAACAAATGAACCCTGAATTTTTGATGAATGATTAAATGAAGAAAGAAATAAGAATATTCATTCTAGAATCCTGAATGAAAAGGAGACAAAAAACTTCATATTGAACGTGAGAACATGAATATTTCATGCTCCTATACTTCAACTCAGAAATATAGTAGATTAGACTATATTGAAAATTTTAAACTTCCACAATCGATATTTCAATAAAAACCCTTGTTAAATTCTTTAGCATTTGTTCGATCATTGAAGATCCCGAAAAATTCTTCAAGGTCTTCAATTTCCTGAAGGATATCTCGCATGGAGCGGAGATAACTGTAATTTTATAGACTCCGTCTCTATCAATGGCATAGCAATAGTTTTTGGCCAGGTTTAGATTCAAACAAACAGAAGGAACATGTTTCTGTTCAATGGTAAATTCCTTTAAATTGGAATGTATTTCATTTTGCGGATATAGCCAGCTATATATTCGTTGATGTAATCTATGTGCCAAAAAAATCATAACATTCAATCATAGATACTTATTTTTTTTCGAAATAGATGGAGTGATAAATATCTCAATTTATAATCAGTGAAAACACAAGAGCTTTTTATCGAATAAATTCATCTACCTAACGAAACAAATTCGCCAATCAGTAATTTTACTACAAGAAGAACTGTCATGAAAAAATTGTTAGCCGTAGGTCCAGTAAGTTTGTCTAATTTCGCATGTCATAGACGATTAACATCGAATAAGTCTAATGGTCCTGATGGAATTCCACCGATTATTCTCAAAAAGTGTGCACCAGAATTGACACCGATTCTCTGCAAGCTATTTACCATATCCTACAAGTCGGGTATAGTTCCATCTGGCTGGAAAATGCTAGAATCCAACCAATTCTCAAAAAAATAGGAAACAAAAGCCCGCCCAACAACTACAGGCCAATTGCCCTGCTATCAGCCATCTCTCAAAGTGAAGAGCTACCCTTGTAGGGTTTTTCCTGATCTTCCTGATTCTGATGGAAGTTTTCCAAATACGATTCAGGAAGTCTAAATGTTGTAATTCAAAAAGGAAATGAGTTCTCCAAATTCGGCTCTAAAATGTTTTTTCCATAGTTGGCCATCGTATGGTGTGTCAGTAGATGTAAATTGCTGGTGAATCTCAGGCGAAAACATCGAGAAGTTCATGAAATATCGTTCATCAAAGTTTCGCCCTGAATGATATCAAAACCCACCTTGACTCCCTCTATCCGCCATTGGGCAATAGCTTGTTAGTTATGACTCACCCTGTATATCAGATTTCGGAATTGATAACTTTTGCTATCGACAACATTGTTCGATTAGTTGAATAGGTACATGAAAAAGGAATTTCAATTTCAAATGATATATATAGTATGTCTTCTCCCCCTAATTTTTGTAATCATAAGAAAACACATTCCCCACCCGAAAGCATTATTCGAAGAAAGGTAATTAAATAATTCGAACGTAGAAAATAATTCATTTGGAAAATTGATTTAGCAAGGGCGTACCCAGGATCTGAACTAGGGGGGGGGGGGCAGCTTAGGCAAGGGAACTAGAAACTACCGAGAATCAGTATCAATCACTAGACATGCCATGCTTCAACTGATAAGTTTTTTTAAAATCTTAATAAACATAAGTATTTCAATTAACTGTTCTTTATTATATTTTCATCTTAATAATAATCTTCTCGGGTTCGCTGCAAATTTTTCCATTACTTTTGTTTCCACCATTTTACGGTTTTCTTCCACAAAATTCCGATGTACGCTCATCAAGCATAATCCAGTCAGCCTTGTCTCACTCATAGTGCTCCTAAGCCAGAATGTAACAAACAGTGTTGCCAGCTGCTGGAGATGATATGTCGGCAAAGTTAGGAAAAAAACCGCTAGAAGTCGCCAAAGCGAGCGAAGCGAGCAGAAAGCCCGCCGCTGGCGAAATTTTTGGAAATTTAGCGACTTTTTTTCGTGATTTAGCGACATTTTTGATCATATTTCATCATTTTCAAATAGTTTATATCATCAGATGAAAAATCGTAGAAAACTTTATTTATTCAGATTCTGTTTAGAATGAAAAAATAACAAGACAAAATGAATATAGGTGAATTTTCCTATACCTATAGGTAGGCACATTGGTAAATCACAACATACATTATTTTTCGATCGTATTTAGGTTTGTCCTTGATCTTGTCACACGTTCATAAACCTGTCAAACCATAACCATGTATCAACTCATATTTCTAGTTCAACATCATACAGATCTGCGACTTCATCGCAAATAAAATATTCGTTCACAAGCATCACAAGTTTTTGAACCATATCGAATATACAAACGGGTATACGGGTACGATAGCAACAGCGTTGCCAGATACCGCGATTTATCGCAATTTAGGGGACTTTTTTTGTTGGTTCTTGCGATCAAATTATGTTCTTTGCGATAAGCGACTTATTTAAGCTATTTATGAACTTGTAATCAGAACTGATATAAAAACACAATACTTCAACAAAAAGATTTAAAATCTTTCTTTATGAAACATCATTGTTTTGCTCAATCATGATTAAGATACAATATTTTCAGTATTCGGGAAAAAGTCAAGTGGCAGGATGACTTCTGACTTCTAGGGGAAGGGGCTGCTGCTTCCCCCTGCCCCTTGCTGGGTACGCCCTTGTGATTTAGTTCGAACTAAAATTTTCCGAATTAGAGGAATTCACAGTCTCCAAGAAAAAAAAGCCTCCTTGAGAGATTTTCTTGATCTGAGATAGGTACTGATTCCGAAAATGTCTCCAATTATGAGATAGGACAATCGACCCGAAGAAATACCTAGAAAAGATGGGTCTTGACTACTGCAGTGTGAACAGTAGCGGCGTTAGGGTAGGGCGCCGGATGAAAAGGGGCGCCGCAGACAACCCTATAAATTGATACATATAGGAGTCAGTCATAATTTTTGTCGGTTACTAAACCTAAAAGATACATATAATGATGAAAATAGAAAGCTCTTATTTCGAGTGATAATGGAAGATGAAAAAACTCCACCGCTCCGTGTGAGAGTCGAACTCACAACCTCTGGGTTACATGCCCAATGCCCAACGCTCTGCCAATTGAGCTCACGGGGCATCCGTCGACAGTGAGGTCGAGTTCTCATCACCCACTAGGGCATGTAACCCAGAGGTTATGAGTTCGACTCTCACACGGGGCGGTGGAGTTTTTTTATTTTCCATTATCACTCGAAATTAGTGCTTTCCATCTTCATCATTACATGTATCTTCTCGGTTGAGTTACCGACAAAAATTATGACACACTCCTATATGTATGATTGCCTTCGGACATTTTCGTATACAAGGAAAGACAATGCCAGAGGACGAACGGGGAAATATGGAGACTGTATAGTACCATCCTGCCAGCGATGCTTCCTATAGTGCATGATTTTAATGTTGTTTCGTGTATTGCTCGTACTTATGTCGAAATATCCACTTATGAAATTATAAAGATAGATTGAAATGACATATATTTGATTAGTCTCAATATTAATTATATGACAAGCTCTCAAAATCCTTTTTTTATCAAAACATCCACATGGAAACCATGAATTCACATACAGTAAGTGCAGGTTGCATTAGTGCACTACATTACTCTCCCTCCTCCAATTTTATAACAAAAGATACTTTTTTTGATGGACGAGAATTTTCATAAATGTCGTTGTCTAAATATGCTGGTTTAGTTCTATCTATTGATACTGGTCATTCAGCACCATTCTTATCTATATAAATTGTTTTTTCCGAGCGACGAATAACTTTGAATGGACCTTCATACGGTTGTCGGAAACATTTTTTAAATCCCCCTAGGCCCTAACTGAACAAAAACGAAATCACAGGTCTTTAAGTCTTTAGAAACAAACGGTTTCATATTGTTTCTATGTCGAATAGGAGGTGGTTGGAACTCCTTGAATGTATTTTTGAGTTTGGTTAATATCTCTCTCGTCTGACTCAATTCATGGTGAGGTTGAGCAACCAAGAATTCACCGGGAATTCTTAACAAAGACCTCTTGAAGAACCGGCTAAAATTTCCATTGAGCGATACAGTTCAGATGGTTTACGGTCACCTAACTCTGAAATAGAAAGCAACTCTTCCAACTTTTTCTCTTCACTCACAGAGTGCCGTGAAATCAAAGCACCTTTTATACGTTCATAAGTCTGAAAATTTGGATCCTGGATTTTGTCCCAGACTGTCAAAATTACTTCCTGAGGCAGAGAGGTCATTAAATGTTGATATTTAGTTGAATCTTGACGTATATTTCTCATTTTAAATAGAATTTCTGCTTGTAAAAACCAAGCTTCAGGACATTGGGTCCAGAAAGTAGGTAATTTGAATGAAGAAGAAGCCTGTTCAAAATTATCCGAGTTTTCAGTATGAATTTGAGGATGATCAACCATTCTGAATTTACTGGAGGCTCACAATGAAATGATGCTATTGAAATAAATGGAACGCGCTGTATAAAAACGACGAATTAGGAATTAGGTAGTTCAGTTTCTTGACTATAGGCAGATTCTTGTAGAATGGGAGATGATATGTGGTCGATTCGCTGAGAAGTCAATCGACTCTTGAGATTCAGGATGGGGTTCAGGAAATAGTAGGGATCCAAAAATAAAACAGGAAAGCTTTTATCTTGAGGTATTGGTCATCTGGTGGTTAGCTGGACGATTTAGATAACGTATTGAGAACAAGAGTGTATTCCAAAAGAACTCCAACTTCTGCGCTACCTGGAATCGCTGATAACTGTTCTATAGTCAGCAATCTCCAATCGTTGGTATGTCGGGGTCACCAATTTAGTGTTGTTTCGTGTATTTCTCGTACTTATGTCGAAATATCCAGTAATGAAATTATAAAGATAGATTGAAATGACATATATTTGATTAGTCTCAATATTAATTATATGACAAGCTCTCAAAATCCTTTTTGTAACAAAACATCCACATGGAAACCATAAATTCACATACAGTAAGTGCAGGTTGCATTAGTGCACTACAATGATTTCCAGTGACTTCGGGAATTGGAAGGATTCTGCCGCCTATTGTGTGATGAGAAGTCGACCTCCCTGCCGATTGATCGACGGATGCCCCGTTTGCTCAATTGGCAGAGCGTTGGGCATATATTATAACCCAGAGGTTGTGAGTTCGATTCTCACACAGGGCAGTGGAGTTTTTTCATTTTCCATTATCACTCGAAATTATGACTTTCCATCTTCATCATTATACCCCTATAAATTCTCCAAATTTTTCAAATTAATATCATTAGCGCATCTCACGATCAACAGATATAGGAAAGAATGCTACACTTCCTCCTATAAGAATATAAAGATACTAACTCTAAAATCGCCATTTTAACTGCAGAGGCATTGGCTAAAGAACTAGAAATTGAACCTAAGCCTGGACCTGAGCTTAGTGCCATATGGAGAGTTCAATTTGCCTATAATTTCTACAGAAAAATGTGTACTACTAATCTTGGTATTCTTGTACAATATAAAACAAATTTCGAAACAACCCGACCTTTTACAAGGTATGTGGTGTGATGAACTCACCTAATCAGAATTTGGTTACCCCTGCATGTGTTTTGGTAGGGGGGAGATGAGTTTTTCTGAGCCTAAGCTGCTACAAACTTCGACAATAACTCAATCTAGATTCACAAACTTGGCAACTTTGTCAATTGAAAATAAAATTGTTGAAAATATTGACTTTGTTGACCTAATAAAAGAGTTTGCCAATACAAAAACTAGGAAAGTGAAATATATTAGTTATTAGGGGGCGCCGTAGAATTCTTGCCCAGGGCGCTGGTAGTGCTAAAACCGACACTGAGTGTGGAGGAAGCTTTGAACAGAAAGAAGAGAAGATCTTCGAACTGGGAAGCAGCGAGGGAATAGAGGTTGAAGAAAATTTCCTTACCGGGGAATACTGATATTATAGACAATTAAAAATATTCTTGGTGTAATAATAGAGTGTATAAGACTTATCTATAAAATTATCATTGTTGAAATTGAGTTTTCAGTGCCGCAACAAGAAGATCTTGCGCTTGGGGTCAACATTCTATACCTCTGTAACTATTATATTATTGTTTTCCTCAACACATTCCTCCAAGAAGAATTAACAAATCAATCATGAATTTGATGAATTATTGTTCATGATAAAAGTGGAAAAATAACGGAATTCTTTCTAGAATCTAGAATGAAAAGGAAACAAAAAAATGTATATTGAACGTGTAAGGATGAATATTAACTTTCGAGATCTATGCTTTCGATTCTTCTCGATTTAAAAATATGGTAGATCAGATTTCATTTAAAATACAATTTATGAACAACTTTCAAGTAATGATTATGATTTGACACTTTTTTGAATGCCATAATGACGTTAATTACCGCACTAGTGCTTTCTCGAATCTACAGGGTGTCTCACTTTAAACGGCCTTCCCTCTATATCTCAGTTATTAGACATGCGATTCCAACCAAATTTGGTGTGGTATGAATAACCATCAATATGATCAGTTTTACAGAAATGCACATTATTTTGGACAGTGCCGTGTGTTTTTATTGAACTAAAAAGGGGTTGATTTTTCATAAATCATATCAGGCATTTTTTACAGAAAATCTAACCTCATATTATTTTTCCTCATGCTTTGGAACTTCCATATGCAAAATATCACCTAACTTCGAATCAACAGGATTGGCTTCATTTTTTTCATTTTCAGTCTTGAATAAATAGTGACTTCAAATTAACCACGAATTTTGTAACGTCCAATAGCTCCGGTAGGTGGAAAATCATGATTGGGAAGGAAAATCGGGTTATACTTTTTCTTGTTGAACTCACCGTTTCCGAGTAAATAATTATTACGTTCGCAAAAGTGTTGTTAAAATGTGCCTGTTTTTCTGAAACCCTTTATATAGGCATCTTATGAAAATCTACATATGTGGGTTTGAAACCATAAAGAACAATATTATGAGGTCATTTTCCTTGTGAAAAAATGCCTAATATATGATATAATGAAAAACTGACCCCTATTCATTTCAATAAAAATGCACGGCACCGTCTGAAATAATGTTTGTCTTTGAAGAACTGGTCATATTTATGATTATCCATACCGATACAAATTTGGTAGAGATCGCACAACTGATAGCTGAGATATAGAGGGGGCCCGTTTGAAATGAGACACGCTGTATTATCGCACTAGTGCGGTAATGAGATAAAAAATATATTTCAACCAAAATAAATCGTTCATTGAATGAATACAAAGAAAATTCAGATAACAGTTGTCGCCCGCTTTTGATATCGGATGGTAGATCATCTTCACTTGAAGACATGTTCACTCAAGAAACGTAATTATGTACTTTTTTGTAAAACGGCGTGAATATTCAAAATCCGAGATTAAATTGTCGAAAAATATGCATATAAGAAAGTTTGAGCAATATCTAATGTAGTCCCACCCTGTATTATACACTCCTGAATGAAATTTTGGAATGATTTTATTTCCAATGCATTGAGCATGGAAAGTTTAGTTCTTCAAATATTGAAGAAATATCATCTTCAAGAGTCCCCTCTCAGGGGGCTGTAGCTCCCTTAGGAAACATTTCTCGACTCATATTCATTGAAACTTTTTTTCCTATGTTTGGTCGTAGAAGCCGCAAGTGAAGTTTGGCAGGCTAATTTCGGGACACACCCTGTATAGACAAATATTTATGGAATTTTATTTCCATTATAATATCTCAGCAATCACCACTGTGGTGCACTTGGGTGCTCCAAAAGTTCATGCTTTTGGTTTCCCGTTGGACAAGGAACTATCGAAGAAGTGGGTATATCCCAGACAGCACTGGATATTCATAGAATATTCTCTAAATATGCTAAAAAGGAGGAGTATATTCCGAATATTCATCGATTATTCCTAGAATATATACATGCCACTGGAACATCTAAAAGGAATATTCCAAAGTGAATAGTCGGACATGTTCAGGGAATATTCAGCTATGAATCTTCCAGGAATATTCTCAACTGAATATTCCCTGTTGTATATTCATGAAATATACCCAACTGAATATTCTGTGCGGTATATTCATGAAATATACCCAACTGAATATTCTGTGCGGTATATTCATGAGATATTCCCAACTGAATATTCGGTGGTGAATATTCATGAAATATTCCATGAATATTCCTTTGTTTCTCAACACATATATACCATTTATTATTTCAGAGATATAAGTATCGAACATCAATTAGATGTAAGGGGATTTTGAAAAAAAAAGTGTTTATGATCCGATTTCGAACAATGCTCTCACAAGAACTTGATATGTATAACATTATTCAATTCGATTACTGGCCTAGTGGTCAAGGCGTTGCTCTGATAGTCTTGAGGTCACGAGTTCGATCCCTACTTGGGTCACTTTTTTTAATTTTAGAATATGTTTATTGGAATATTCCAGGAACATTCAACATAGAATATTCTTTTGGGTATATTCTATGATTATCTGAGGAATTCCCATTCGCATATTTAGAGAATATTCCACAGATATTCCGGAATATTCCAGATTATTTCTAGAATATTCCAATATTCCAAAAGGAATATGATAGGGATATTCATGGAATATCTGGTGCTGTCTGGGATGCAATTCACCGCGAGGATTTTACTCCATTTAAGTACAGTAGAGTATGTGAATTACATTTTACTAAAGATGTTATTTTCACTTCATCTACTGCAACCGATTCGAAAACGGGCAAAACTGTAACAATAGATTTGAGAATTCCCAGGCTCAAACGAAATGTTATTCCGACTCGATTTCCTAACTGTCCATCTTATTCATCGAAAGATGTAAAATTACGCACAAGTCGTGATGAAAAACTTGAGATATACTAGAGACTGAAAATTTGGTAAGGGCACTTACCAAAAGTGAAACTGAATTCGAAAATTACAAAAAATCATTTTGCTATACCCCAGAATTTCAAGAATTTCTAGATGAATTAGAGTCTTTTCAGTTGCCCGAAAAGTGGTTCAAAATTATCGATTTGCATAAAATGATGGATTGGTTAGAAACTTGGAAATCTGCAAATTCTGCTAATAAACTAAGAAACCGAACACATACTGCTGATTCACACTATATATGGAATGACAGAAGTTATACAATGTTGTTTTAACGAACTATATATGGAATGACAGAAGTTATACAATGTTGTTTTAACGAACTCAAGATGAATTATGTTTTATTAGGAGAAACAGATGATTTGGAACATAGGTTCGGGAAATATCTTCAACTTTCAGGTGGACAATATCACATATCTATTCGACAATTGTATGAATCGGAAGAACGGCTCAGAATTCAATCACTGCTCACGCTAAAATCTCGTACTTACAGTAATATACAAATCAGGCGCTTCAACGAAAATATTGATATCGAATAAATCCAAGAAATTCATTTTTTTCAATCCAGATATCATAGTCAAGTAATCTGATATATATAAATATAGTGATGACGTGCTGGTAATAACCTATTTAGCAGGTTATTGTTGCTATATATTACACTTAGAAAAATTCAGTGCGAATTTTGTAAACAGAACTTGATTTATAATGATGAATTAAAAATAGAAGACAATTACTCTCTCATAAAAAGTATGAGTAGAGGAAAATTACTCTATCCGCAAGCTTTGATTGTGCAGTTAGTTTTGTATTCGTATATTATATTCAACAAAATCATCTCTGAATTCAAGGAAATATTCTCGAATGTTCAAAATAAACGGGCATTAATTTCTATCTGAAAACGGTCATTTGCCTCGTGGCAATTATTGCAGAATTCATTCCAATGATCAAATTGCAACTATCATATTAACATGTACTATACAAACGCTCTACTTAAAAATTACTGTTTCAAGTCTAACGATCAATTGGGTAAAAAATCCAACAGCAGGAAATTGAAAACACTCACTGGATAATTTTTTAGGTAATAGGAAGTCTCCAAGATAAATATAGGTAATTATAATAAATGGCATGTCTATCAAAATAAAATACATTTTCCCCAATTTTCTTTCGAGCAATCTCACAGACAGTATTTAGGTACATAAAAATGTTATAAAAAAAAAAATTATTTAAAAATGTTAAATTAAAATACTACATCTCGGCAACACTGGTTGTTTATGATGCATGTTCCGTTATCGACGACATTCACTCATTACAGATTACTCTTATTAGTTATTTGTTATTCAGTTTGTAGAATCTCAAAGTTAGTGTCAGATTAATTTGTTATTATTCAAGTTCAAATATTAAGTAACCATCATGGCCCCCAATAATTCTGGTAAGTTTGGATCTTTCAAGGTTGGGTTGGACTTGCTTTGTTTTGGATATCAACCAAACGTGTGTAAATCACTGAGGCAGTGGTGATTCGTGTCATAGCAAAATAGTAGTGCTATACCGGGTGGTCCATTAAGACTATCCACCCTCGATATCTCTTAGAAAAATGATTTGACAAGAAAAAACCAACAAGAAACACGTCGACTTTTATTTGGAGGGGGACACTTCAACCCTCTACTCCCCAGAGACACCCCCTCAATAATTGAATAGATAATAAGAGTCCTCCCAATCAGCACAAATACGTTTTGCGGACGTCCGTTGTTAATAATCAGGATGTTGTGGTGACGTCCATTTTTGGTCCAGATTTTTGGAATCAAAAATGGACGTGTTGAGGACATTCAGATTTTATTCATTGTTTATTTTCTGCCCCATTCCAAGAATGAAATACTTGAAACTTGAATATTGAATAGAATACATTTATTCGCACATAATAATATAAACAGAGAATCAGGTTGTTGTTTCAATTTCACTTTTTCATATCGTATATCAGCAGCTGCAGCACTAAAAACGTAGCTTGGTTCATCCAATTACGCAGGCGCGATGAAGTCGTCTCTCTCTGATTGGTGGCCTTCTGTTGTCTTCATCATTGCTTCTGTAAATAATGATAATATTCGATAACATCTTCTGTGAATACCATAAACACACACCCACTTTCAACCTGTAGTATGTATTTAGATCTATGGTATAGCTAAATTCTTTATTATTTTCATTTCATTGAAACTGATTCTTTGGTAGGTACCTATAACCTCTATAAACCATGCACGAAATATTATGTTTGAACTATATTGAGAATAGGAAAAAACTCCCCCAAGAACACCCTGTATCTCCCGAACCAGCAACATTCTTATTAGGCATGTTGGGCTAAATCTTAATATTTCACTACTATCAGTAGTTCAGAGATTTCCCATTCTCAATGAATGTATATGAATTAAATTGTCAAAATGAAGAATGGACTTGTACACTGTAGTTTTGGCATTTTTCAGTTTTTAGGAAAAAAATAGATTGGACACTATAGTTACAGTAACGTGTTGAATGAAATAAGATTTATTTTATAAATCTTGATCTATTATTAGTTATATTATAGAGAGATGAAAATTGTGTTTATCATGAAGAATGGCTGAAAGAATAACTATAAGTTTCAAGCTCATTAAGATCAGAGTTTATACAAGTATACTTCTCCTATACATTTCAATTTTCATTTCAATACTGAATATATTGGTGAGTTATATCTCAATATCATAATACCTCATATTATTTATCCTATTCGAGAGAGAATGTCAATTCTCAATTCCAGAGGATTTTTATTTTTCATGCTCTCCTATTGGACGTTCAACAGATATATGTTCGACGTGTCAAATATTTGCATACCTATTTTTGTCTGGAGGAGAATGCAAATTCTCAACTTCAAAATTAATATCGAAGTTTCGGAATCCAATCTGATGTTGTGCTGTAATTAATTGATTATCGTTATTGTTACAGGTTGTGGTCCGGGATATGCTACACCTCTAGATGCGATGAAAAATGGACCAAGAGAAAACCTCCTATATGTGATTTGTGTACAACCAAATGAGGGACCTGGTAAATCCGATTTGTTAGCAACAGTGGACGTCAATCCAGATTCTCCTACATATTGCCAGGTAGGTTTGAAATTATATGTTGAAATATCAATAGTTTGGAATAAGTTCTTGTTTCCATTTCATCATTTATTGATAATAGGAAAAATAGTGTAGGCAATATGGTAAAGGCTATCAATAGACGTGACCTGCCTAACCTGCCTATAGGAGAAAGATTGGTGTATTTCGGAAAACTGTATGAGTACTTTTATCTCTTCATAATTATATCACTATTTCGCCAAGCATACGTATTTATCTGCTATAATATTATACAGTGTGGGTCACAGGTCGATGGTGTATACCTTAGAAGTTCACGGAGAAGGGAACATAGGATTGTTCTGAAAATTTGGTTTCTCAAGAAGTTGCTCTTGGTCTATCGATCAAAAATATTTTCAGTAATGCAGCCTTGGCACTCATACCAGAAAGTAGTAGCTTTAGCTAATTTCAATATTTCAAATAGAACATCCTGTATTTCATTGCATCTTTATAGATTTTCACTAAAGGGCAGATTTCATCAATCACACTTGGGGTCTAGCGGGAATGACTACAGAGATATAGGGTGTTCTAAATCTAGATTCTTCAACTTTGGAGTTTTTCGTGTCAAAACCATTCTCTCGAGTCTCTATCTCAACTTTCGATTTTCCATCTACTGACATTTGATTGGAACAGCTACAGGGTGATTAGAATTCTGAATCTTGAACCACTGCTGCCGGTCATATTGAAAACATAATATCGCATGCAGACTTCCAAGTCATTAGATCCAATATTGAAAGAGTATTTTCAAATCCAAAGGATTTATTGGCCGAAATCGATGGAGATATTTAGCTTATTTTATCTTGTGCAGCGCAAGAAAGGGAATTCATATTATATTCCTAGGATATTGTCACGATACAATAGATGGTTAGTCCATCCATATCGATTTATAAGGGGTTAGCTTGGCTTAATAGTTTGGGAGAGGTAATATTCGAATATTGGCACTAATAATTCAGGGGTAACGAAAAGTACGACACTATAATCAAAGATAACAATATTTGAAGCATCAAACATTAGCGATGACAAATATGAATTAACTACAATGAATATGAAGACCTGATAACCACTTACATTATAATGACCATTACGGCGAGACGGGAAGTCGTCATTGCCTCCCATGAACACAGTCAACTAGCTTCATTGAGACGACTTCGAGACGAATGATCCAAGATGTTGGGCTGTCATCACAGCAACTGCCAACAACCAGCATTTCCTCTCGTTCAGCTGTTACCTACCTTGAAGAAATCTTCAACCCCGAAAGATTTCACCCTAATGCCCAGGACTAGGATACCTTTCGAGCCCAAAATGAATCCTGCCAAAATCCCACGACGATTGAAGGATGCCATGCCCATCAATCGTCATTTGCTACCTCAAGAAGCCAGCAGTTCCCTTCGTTTAGCTGCCTACTACCTCGAAGGACAGTCTAGGAAATCTTAAAACCCAAAAGATTCTATCCCAATGTACAGGACAACGATACCTTCGAGCCCAAAAGGATCCTGCCGAAATGTCCATGACGATGGGAGGATGCCATGCCCAGTCGTCATGTCCATGATGAGAATAGACTGGTGTAACCACTTGTCAATTGTTTCTTTCCAAAATGTGTAGACCGCGATAAACACCGTAGCAAGGCCGCACCGGATTGACTGTAGATGGCGTAGGGAACATCGTGCCACATATAGTTCACAGATATAATGAAAATTTCACGTCTTTTTCATTAAATCAATCACTTTTTCTCAATGTTTTTAAATTACGAATCAATATACGTAGATGTAAACAACAAAACAAAACAACCATTGTGTAGCAAGATCACTTCGGGAACAGCGCCATCTAGCGTTAGTTTTGCGCGGCCTTACTACGGTGATAGAATTCGACATAATCAAGTAGGCCAGAGGTCTACAAAAATGTCTAGAGTTTTGTAAGAGGGAGCTATTTCACCATACATATATCCACCTTTGTCATGTCCCACCGATAAGAGTTGAAATGCTTCAGTTGAATAGCCAGTGCCGGACAAAGTAAAGGTGCGAGTGCGCATTGTAGACACTAAACATTGAATGTTTGTGGATATGTTTTTTCTGAAGCTTTTCGTTCATGTGAATGAATATTAAATGTTCTCCTCGATAATTTAGGTTCTAGGTAGTTATTTCAAAACTTGGGTCCAGTTTTCTCGGAGAGGGAGGTCATGTCACAAGTAGAACATACAGTATATCAGTAATTTCGACCAAGAAAGTCTCATGATTTATGGTCCTTATATTCATTGTTGTTTATTCATATTTGTCATCGCTAATGTTTTATGGTAGAATAAATATTGTTATCTTTTAATATAGTGTCGTACTTTCTGTTACCCCTAAACTATTAGTGCCTATTCGAATATTACCTTTCGCAAACTATCAAACCAAGCTAACTCCTTATGAATCTATATGGATGGACTAACCATCTATTTTATCGTGACAATATATCCTAGGGAGAGAAGGTATTGGTATCGAAATCATTTTTGACTTTTGGAGGTCATGAGCTCTAAGGAATACTTCCTTAGGCAAAGAATTCCAAAGCTGTGCTGTTCTATGAAGAAACACGTTTTGTTAGAGAATTGTTCAACATAATCTCGAAGTTGAAGACGAAACTTGCAGTTTTAAGCTTTGAAAACGAATAGGTCGGTACGGTGTTTTCAATTTTCCTGATTTCATGGGATTTTCGCTCCTTGTTCCTATGAAATCAAGATATGAGTATTATTCCAATATACCTGTATTGAGGACAAATCAGATGATTTGTTCCAAAATGTAACTGCGCTTGAAAATTTTTCAGAGAGCCGTATAGGAAACACATAAACGATTTCAAGGAACACTTTGCTTTGAAAAATGTGGCAGAAAAATATAGGTTTATCAGAAAAGAATCACATTTTCAGTTATCTTTGCATGTGAAGGAATCAAATCTGCTCCCGTTTTCAACACGCAAAATTTATCTAATTCTTTCAAAGTGTCTCATCAGTGACAGCTGTTGATGTTTGCATACAAATGAGTTACAGGATGTTTTCATTCATTTATCATGAATTTACCATTTCAATGTTCAGATTTTAGTAGTGAATACCATACTTTATATATATCAACTGATCAGGATCCAGAAGAATGCGAACGGATTCCTCGACTTTTCCATTGTAGTAGGTATACGATCATGATCATACTGTATAATGACTATTATTTACATGTTTACATTTTCTTATTCATATATTGGTAATCATGAAATTGGTGTCGGGAAACCAACGATATGATATTCAATAAGGGTGTCTTGGAAGAACAAAAAAAAAATACATATTATATGGTACATGAGTGGTGCTTGAATTGCACTTATTCATCCTAACATCACATTACATGACTATTTGGTTAACATCCCTTTTTTTTATGATTGCAAAAATATTCCCCTGTGTTGAAAACAGGAGCAGATTCGTTCTAGAATCTCTAATAGGAACATTTTTAAACGCAGTGACATTCTAGGGCAAGTCGTCTGATTGGTCCTAACTACACGTATATTCAAATAATACTCATATTTCCATTTCAATAAATTAATGTATCCTCCTGGACTAACCTACAGAAATTATTTTCAGTTGGGGATTTCTCCTGTGTCAATGGAAGGGTAGTAAGATCAAATTTGTATAGAAGTTCTCTTTAAAAAAAAATTGGAAGGGCTATGGCTCTCAATAGCCCCTTTATAGATTTACCGATGTTCGAAATTATAGATTCAGTATCACCAACGGGTTCAGTAGTACATTGGTCATCTTGATTTCCAGATAATCCATCGTTTGAGAACTGGACACCCGAAAGACGAACTGCACCACTCTGGATGGAATGTCTGCTCAAGTTGTCATTCCTCCACGGGTTGCGTCGATGCCCCACCACGAGACAAGCTGGTGCTGCCAGCTTTGGGCTCTGACAGGGTGTACATAGTCGATGTCGCCAAAAATCCTCGTGCTCCAGAATTTCACAAGGTGAGAGATATTCGCATTATAAGCTTGTAGGGGATTCAACCACAGATTCTAAGAACAAAAGTAGTAAAAAAAGTTGATATAAACATGAGGGCCCGAGATGATGATGGTTTTTTATAAATATTTCCGAACCCCTTCGTGTTTAGATAACTAAATTTTGTAATTGTATATCACACTCTTTCATGGGATAATCATGTCAGATCCATCGCAGAAGCTGCTTCACAAAAACTCGGATTCTTGTTCCGTGCGAAAAGCTACTTTACACCTCAACAGCTTCTCATGATCTACAAAGCGCAGATACGGCCTGTTCTAGAATACTGTTCCCACATATGGGGTTCAGCACCAAAACATACGCTGATGCTCTTAGATTCCATCCAGAGAAGAGCCATTCGCCTGGTGGGTGACACCACACTCACTCACTCTTTGTCATCATTAGAACTCCGTAGAAAGGTCGGCGACCTTTCACTTTTCTATCGATACTTCTTCGGAAATCTCTGCTAATCATCCCTTCACTAGCAATACCAATCAGACGAACTAGACAAGCCCAGTCAGCACATCCTTTCGTTGTCAACCTCGAAAGATGTCGAACAGCACTTTATCAAGACTCCTTCATCCATATAGAACGGCTAGGCTCTGGAATTCATTGCCTGTGGAAGTGTTCCCAACAACATATAATCTCCAAAAGTTCAAAAAAAATTCCAATACCTACCTCTTGTCCCTATCCTCCCTAGGAACGCACGATGTTCTTTGAACATTATAGGGATTCCCTCTCGTGCGCTCCAAGCGATAAAAAAAAACTCTTTATCTCTGTAATCATTCTCGATAGACCCCAAGTGTGATGTATCTATGAAATCAGCTCTTCAGGGAAAATTTGAAAATGCGATAAAATACAGGGTATTCTATTTGAAATAACAAAGTTGTTGCTACTTTTCGATATAAGCGGCAACACTGCGTTGCTAAAAATATTTCAAATTGAGAGAGCGTATTCTGAGATATGAGCATACATATTTGCATGAATTTCTTCCGACTGATTCTCGATATAGAGATAGTGTAAGCTCGTCGTGACATACCCTGTATATAATATTTTTGAAATTATTCTTTTTATTGTTCCTCTCATATTTTGAGTCAAGTAGATGATGAAAAAAGGGTATGTGTTATGGAAAAATAATTTTTGGGAAAATTTGGTATCCTATTGAAAGGAAAAAAGCAGCATCTATATATTATGTATATGATGTCCTTATGTCTACAACCTCGATCTGCCTTCTGCCTGAATAATCACGAACCCAGTGATCGTGAAGTAACTTTGTGAAGACCCTCTGTAGTCTGTAGTAGGCCAACGAACAAGGAAGCTTTACACTATGCCTCACTTCCACTCACGGCATAGGATGCATGTATGTTTTTCAATTTCCTATATCACTCACCAACAGAAATCTTAGACTTCATACGATATTTTCATCAGGGGTAATCACTATTAATAATTATTTAACCAACTAGTTTATTAATGAGGGCGATTAATGATCGAGATATTTTAACGTGTGAGCGAAGCGAGCGCGTTAATGTTCGAGATCATTAATCGCCTTTTAATAAACAAGTTGGTTACAAAATTTTTCCGTCGACTATATTTCTCATTTCTCCTGCAATGAAAAAAAACTTGGTTCGCGAATTCATCATTCATCTGGAAACTGCTAAGAATCACCCAGTAGCCTTGTCACTGACATTAGTGACATTTGACATTTGTCGAAATTATCAACATAGGAAATAAATTCCTTGTGTTAGAAAACAGGGATTAAAATCGTGTCAGAAACTTGGAAAGGTGAACCCGTTAACGGAACATCGTCGATGAAATCCATATTTTCGATTTAAATGCAGATTCCGCTAGTTATAGCATAAACAATGAATGCACGCGGTGTATGTTTGGTTGCCTATAAAACAATCGTGTATTAATAGACAAATCGTTCATTAATAGGGGTCATTAATGAACGATTTCACATACATTAAACTTAGTCGTTAATACGAGGTCGACGGAAATAGTTATTTATACACCAAGGTAGTGAAGAATATCATTTTTACCCAGGGACCAAGAATATATACCGAGGCTTCAGCCGAGGGGTATAAGGTCCCGTGGTAATAATATTATTTACTACCAAGGTATCATGAATCATTTTCACCACTAGCAATATATTTCAAACATTTCAGTTCTGTGAAACTGAAATATGGACCTATATTGTGACGATGAAAGCACGTCTTTCCAATTCTGATTGAAATCTAGTATCTTGATCATTCAAGTGCCATTCTTGCGAATTTCGCATAAGAACAGTGAATTCGGGTTGATTATATAAGAGGTGGCTATGTCTTGATTGACCAGTGGTTCATAAAATGACGAAAACATCCTTAATAGTAAAAACACACTTCACGCCTTGATGAAGGAGTAAATAATGGTATAGGTTCTACGCTAGTGGTGGAAAAGAATATTTCTGTGCATTAACAGTAGATGAAAATATTTAGGTACGTTCTGTTTCAGGTAATTGAAAGTTCAGAAATAGTGAACTTCAATTGCAGGACACCTCATACTGCACATTGTTTGGCTTCTGGAGATATAATGATTGCCACTATGGGCGATAAAGACGAAAACGCGAAATGTGACTTCATTCTTATTGATGGAAAAACTTTTAAAACGAAAGGTTAGTAAAAAAAAATGTAAACATGAATAACTCAAGTAGTTGATAACTCTTCGACCCATAATCGGAATGAAGCTTTCAGAACAGAAGATGACACGAGAAACAACAAAACTCTATAACGAACTCCTATCTTTAGTGTACCACGGGATCATGAGGACACCAAATTATAAAATGACAATCATATGACCATTTATTTTCTGTTACTCTGTCTGTGAATGTTCAAAACTCTCTCAATTAGAATGGTGTGCGTTCAAATAAATCCATAAACAGAAAGCATTCTGAATACTTGCGAACCAACAAATTTCACTTGACAATTTATTATTCTTCTAAGAAAGTAGGTAGGTACCACATTGTTGTCTTTGGGTATGACCTGTCAACGAACCCAGATCCTTCACAATATATTCTAGAACAAAAAACTATATTTGGCTGAAACAAAGATCATACACACACTATGATCTTTGGCTGAAACTAGTGTTGTCCTCAAATTGGTAAAACGCCGAAAAAAATCGCGGTAGTCAAGGTCATCATCTCTCATTGCGATGACAAGTAAACTACAGGAAAACATACCTAACTCCTAGCTTAGATTGAAAGTTAGAAATGTTTTACCGTAGTTTCCATGTCTTCGCAACGTCAGATGACCACCTTTACCACCGCGAATGTCGCTGATACCATGTAATATATGCGTCGCAGATCACAATAACAATATAGTTATTCATGTACTGAGGGCGTTATACAGTGTGTCCCACTTACCATGCTCACCATGGGTATCTTTTTAACGGTGAGAGATACGAGGTCGGTTAAATGACACCAAATGTGGAGTTTGTCAAGGACAACTATAATGTGAAAAAATATTTTGATAAAATCTATTCGTTTTTGTTTTATACGCAAAAAACAGATTTTGATCATTTTCATGTCTCCTCCGTAACTTCTTTATTTATGAAAATATTCAAAAAGGAATTTAACATTCTCATGGCAGTTTTTCGAAGCGATTTCGAAAAAAATATGAAATTTATACCAACTATCTTGGAGCAGCCATTTTTTTTAAATTGATGGCGGACAAGATTTGGTCCAATTCCATTCAAAATTGGTAAGTGGGGGTTTTTGAGGTCGAAGATCATGATTTTTTTGTTAAAATTTATCAATTCAAGATGGCGGCTTCCAAATAATTTTTTGTTTTTGTATAAATGACGATAACTCCGTTGTTATCAACACAAAACTATTACTGCGACATATCATCTGTAAGAGAAAAAAAGTTGTTTGTAACTAAGTTATAGTGAGCTATGACCTACATTAGAAAAACTAAAGTTGGTGCTGATATCTCAAATTCTAGAAGAGTTGGTATGAATTTCATATTGTTTTCGAAATCGCTTTGAAAAACTGCCATGAGAATGTGATATTCCTATTTGAATATTTTCATAAATAAAGAAGTTACGGAGGAGACATGAAAATGATCAAAATCTGTTTTTTGCGTATAAAACAAAAACGAATAGATTTTATCAAAATATTTTTTCACATTAGAGTTGTCCTTGACAAACTCCACATTTGGTGTCATTTAACCGACCTCGTATCTCTCACCGTTAAAAAGATACCCATGGTGAGCATGGTAAGTGGGACACACTGTATAGATGGGCGATGGGCGTAAGAATGTTGTAATGCTCGTGGTGCATACAAGATTTAATTTTCCACGAAAAAATATCTCATTATAGTGAAAAATCGATTTCAAGAAGCAGTTCATTGCTCCTAACATTTTCTTTCCATTTCTCTTCTCATGGTAGGCATTGCATTCGTTGATATTTTGACGTTTGTTGAATATGGATGTCATCATTCAAATTAGTGAATGTCATTGCTGCTTTCTTTGTGTAGTCTTATGCAGAGAAGTCTTGGATTGGTTTATTGTCGGAGAAATCCAGACTCGTGCATATACGACAAGGATTATTGTACTTTCAAGAATTGGTATATGTAATTTTATGAACTACAGGAAAAAACAATGAGCGGGCGTTATGATTCATAATGCCCTCAATGAAGCTCCGGGAGTTATGGGTCAGTTCATAGCAACCGTTGCCAAGGTATTGTCAAGAAGTACAAATGCCTGTGGAATAACATCACTCAAACTCGCGTTCATTCCAAGATCTTCAATTATAAATTAACTTTTCCAAATTAAAACATCCAGTACAGTGTAGTTTCGATCATGTGAGCGGGGTTCCTGTAGAATTTGCAAAAACCGCTTACCGTGCGATAGTACATAGGTAAGCAATATCCAAAGGTAATGGCCATTTCCATTGCGAAAAATTGCGAACCAAGCATCGATTCCGAATATAAATAGTACCCGAGTCGATAAGGCATCATTATTATTAATACAAGTCATTAGTAATTATTAATTAAAAAAAGTTCGCCGTTTCCCCGACTTCAATTCTGCTGGTCAAACCCATGCTAGACGTTGTAATGTTAGTACTGTATTTTTCAAGTGTTGTTTTGCGTTGTGTTCCATTTGGCAAGCTATTATGTTCTTTTTCGTTGCTAACCTGCTATGTGGCAAGCATTTATCCAAGATTTTTCCTTTTAATCAATATATATCAAATTTCATATGAAAACGGTCTCACCTCTTTATTTGGGGATGAATGTGGTTGGGTGGTGAAACGATCCAAACCTCCCGTCAAAAAGCCTAGCGAGTAGCTGAGTTACGACCTATCGGAGGGTCAACATCTGAGTTGCGACAGTAATCATTATTAATAAAAAATTAATTGAACCTACCAGTATTCTCGGTTACACTTGATTCACCATGTTATTCTTGAAGGTACATGGATCAACGGAAAGGCCCCCAAATTCAACTACGATTTCTGGTACCAGCCCTATTTCGATGTGATGGTCTCCACCGAATGGGGCATACCGAGGCTTTTCAAGAAGGGTTTCGCAGCTGAACAGACAATCAATCCGGAAAAATACGGCCGAAGCCTGAACTTCTTCTCCTGGAGTAAGCGCCAACTGGTGCAGTCGATCGATTTGGGCGTAGACGGAATCGCTCCGCTCGAAGTGAGGTTTCTTCATGATCCCAAAGAACCTCAGGGATATGTGGGATGTGCAGTGAACGGAAATATCTTCAGGTATGGGTTTTTTCTTTGTGGTAGCTCATTTTGTTGTGCGCCACCGAAAACTAGATACACCTACTATTGGATCTATTAATAACTTTGGATCTTCGTGACACTTAAGAGTGTTTGACGACCTAGAATTTATACTTGACCCCCTCCGTTATGATCTTATCTTGTATGAGTTTGAACATGTTCTCAACAGGGTGAGAGTTGTTTACCTACTTGCATAAGTATATTTGGTTCGCAGTATGGTTCTTTTTTTATGTTCTGGTTCCCACGAAAAGGGATATCCTGTAATGTTCAGAGAACATCGTTAGAACCAAGTGGAATAAGGTAGGAATTGGTGTTCTTCTTTAATTTCTTGAGGTTATATGCCTCGGGGAACACCTTCCCTCCAATGTGTTCCAGAGCCTCGATGTTCGTTGGATGAACGAGTCTTTGGAAAGAGGTGTTCTGCAGGTCTCCAAAGTGACCACGAAAGGGTGCAATGTCTCAACTCGATGGGTTAATCTCGCGGGGACTGCCAAGGGAAGAACAATTACTGTTGATATTTCAGAAAAGCATCGTCCATGAAAATATCTATAAAATGGAGCCAGGTCGCGATTTTACTAAATATAAACTATTGCAGCACAAGACACGCCCCCTACTACGGCATTGCAAAATATAATCGAGCCCAGCACAATCCTGCAAAATCTAATCTTTGACAGCACAACGTAGCTGATTCATATAAATAAATCGATTGAAAAAGTAGCACATACCACGTTATATCTCATCTTCAAAGTACTTTACTTAGGCAAAACTCAGAGACTATTTATCCTCAACGAACTAACCTATCCCTGATTGCAATATTTTTGAGGAAGGAAAACCGAATGGAGTGTAGAAACACATTGATTAATAATATATTTCAAAAGTTGAGTTCTTCAACAAAATTGAATAAAATGAGACTGTTTATCCTAAACGCACTAACCTATTTGACTTCAAATATTTTATGAAAAAGGAAAACCAGAATGAAGTAAAAAAACATTGGTGAAAAAAAAAAGTTGCAAAAAAAAGTTCGAGTTCACAGCGATTCGAACCATGAACCTTCAGACACAGCGCTAACCAGTAGACCATTTGGGTGTATGAATTTACTGCGTACAAGAGATTGACAGCGAGAAAGCTTCAGTTCTTGCGTTGGAGCACAGTATGAGATATGACGTATTATGGTGGGCGTGGTTTGTGCTAGCGTGCAGTATATTTAGGAAAATCGCAGCCAGGTCGCCAACTTTTCTACGGTGTTCCAGAGAAGTGAGTGAGTTTGTGAGCGAGACATCACCCACGAGACGAATTGCTTTTTTTTTGGACAGAATCCAACAGTTTCAGGGTATGTTTGGGTGCTGCACTCCAAATATGGGGACAGTATTCCAGGACAGGTCTTTCAGAATCCAAATTAAATACAATTTGGAACTGTTCCTAATGCTGAGCCGCAGCTTAGTTCACAATTGTACAGTCCGATAATCAGAAGTCACTTGTGACATCATCTTCCTAGATACTCCATTCCGTGTTCGTTTCCAGTAAGAGTTTTTCAGTTATTCTTGTGTTTTTATAAAATTGGCGAGTGGACTTACTTTTTTTATTTCTTAAATAGAATCATTATTCAAATACCTTTCAATTCGATATTTTTTTAAAATATTTTGGTCGATAGGTGCCAAAATCATCAATAATGGTACGGTAATTTTCAAACAGCTGAAAATTTACCGCCAGTAAAAACTTACGCTACGATTTTGTAAGTAGGGGCAGACCATAGCACAGTTGCCATGTGTTGAAATACGATTGGGAATTTCAGAAATATTTGTTATTCGATAATTCATAAATTCTCAGTTGAGTATTGGTAATACTCCTAATTAGCAATGAGAAATCAATTGTCTCAAAATGTTCCCATCTGATTTGTGGCTTATTGCTTATAATAAATTTGTGTAAATAATAATTATATTAATTCACCGTAGACCTTATTTGAATCGGTGAACGTGACAACCACGGCGCACGACTTGTGGGCGTGGTCTTGTCAGTTCACAGCATTCAGCACAATCTTGCCACGCCTCCAACAATCATATGATATGTTGTTATGGAGGATAAGAAATATTTGGACATGCTGGTTGCTCGAAAATGTCAGGAATGAACTATAACATCATGGGTTCATCCTATTATGTTTCATTCAACGATAGGGCTCAAACATATAAGTGTTGCAGAAATTAATTTAGGTTGATAACGACACAGTGGAGTAATTGAATGTCAATAATTCATTATCAGTCCACTCGCCCATTCAGTCTTTCACAGACGCTCGGACTGTGTGTTTGGGACTCCCAGTATCAGTCCTGTGCAGAGATCCAGATACAACATTTTTGATGCCGCCTTTGATGGTAGATGGCTCAAAATTCGGTACCTTGAATATCACCACCGTATACACGAAGAAAAATGTATCGTTGGTTGAACAGCCCACGCTTGGACCTAGTCTAGAGAAGCATATGCTCGCACTATTCGTACAAATAGTGGAAATACTTCTGTGGCATATTCGCAATGAGAAAAGTACTCATGTATTGGCCAGTTTGGTTACACAGATCATTATCTGATCAAGATCGATAATGAAACTGAAAAACAGAGACTATTTCTGATCATTAAGATTTGGCTAAGTGACGTGGAGTAATGGCAGCAGAGTTCACCATAGTGGAAGGAGAAATGTGTTGCGTGTACATTGAAGTCACCCATGATGATTTATGCATCTGGATGGTTCTGCTAAATTAGGTCATATCCAGGGCCAAAAATTCGAAGAGCTCTTCATAGGATGGATCATTTGGTGATGAGCAAAGACAGCAATGATATTTGGTGTGTTTCTGGCTATCGAGTTTGAACCACATAACATCAAACTCATTTGGTTCCAAAGTTTCTTCTCGATGACATGAAAGATTCGTTTCAGAATACACCTGAAACGTGTGTGGAGTTCGAACCCAGGACAGAGCATATAGGTCGTATTGGTGGATGAATTGTCCTGTGTCTCAGCCAGGGCCAATATGTCTGGCTTCTCAATTTGAAAGTGTCGATGGTGTCGATGATGTTCCTTCTTAGACCAACGATGTTACATAGGTCTACCTTTAGTCTTTCAATAGCACCTCTGGGCCGGACCGAATGTGCAGGTATTTTACTTCCGGATAATTTTGATTGAGGAGAACTAATCATCGCCTTTTATGTATTGAGAAGGAATACACTTGGCGTAGAAGGAAAAGGAAATTCGGTTGGGTTGGCCAAGATTATCAATCAGATTTGGTGGAATCACACTGGGCGATGGTGTTATAGTCATCTTCTACCTATTGGCGTTCTTTTAGTCACCTCCTACAACAGGCAGGACTTTTACCGTGGGGTTATTCTAGTCTGACCGCCATACGTTTTGTCTTCAGAAAACATGTCGCATCATCACCCAATTTACATGTCTTATTGTTTTCAGGTTCTACAAAAAAGAAAATGGCACATGGGCTGCAGAAAAAGTCATTGATATTCCACATAAGAAGGTTTCTGGATATACTGATGAATATCTCATAGGTATTTGTGGCGATAACTGAACGTATGAGTAATTCAATTGGTTGATAATTCATTTTTAGGATTTATTTCTGATATATTGATATCACTTGATGACAAATACCTCTATCTAAACCTTTGGCTGCAGGGGGATGTGAGACAGTACGATATCAGCGATAGATCTAATCCAAAATTAACTGGTGAGATGGACAAACCTAGTGATTGCACGAGTATGGATGATATCAGCTGACGGCTATGTTAGATTTTTCCTCATCCATCTTTGTGTCTATTTCAGTAACATACAATCCCGAATCGACTCAAACGATAGGGAATATAAGTTAATATTAATGTTACCTCAGACTCACCAGATGAATAATTTCTGATGTTTTCACTCCTTCTTTCCACCAGAAGGAAATTATTACTCTTTGAGATTTTGCTGCGTCTTCCAAAGTTACAGAAACAGTGTTATGAAAACGCATCAACAAGGAGAATTACTAAGAATGGAAAATCTCTGAACTACAGATAGTAAACACAAAAATAATGAGATTAAGCCCTATATGCCTGATTAGAATGTTGCTGGTTTAGGAGATACAGGGTGTTCCAGGAGAAGATTTTATTCCCAAATTCCACAATAACTTTGTTAGTTTTAACAGCATGAACATGAAATCTTGTATTTCTAGGTTTTCTGACATGAGGAATATGAATTTGCAACTCATTTTGTGATTGCTCATAGTGGGGGCTAGTGGCACTCTGTTACTTCGATAATTTACATCATATCTTCTATGTCAATTCATTGATGATCAAAATAAGTGGAAAATCTGAACGCTCATTCAATTATACATGAAAAATGTACTCTTTATCAAATTCTCTAACTTTAACAGTTTTTGTGTTATTCGCTCTTGAGAAGGTTCATGTTCCAATTATAGCATTTTAATAATTGTATTCATTGAAAATCCCTGAACTACAGATAGTAAACACCCAAATAGAAAGATTTAGCCCAACATGCCTCATAAAAATATTGATGTTTCAAGAGATACAGGGTGGTTAAGGAGAAGGTATTTCGAAAGCCGAAACACAGAAACGAAAACATAATGTGTTTGATTATTAACACAAATATTTCAACCAATCAGAAACGTGTATTCTGGAATGAATGTAAAAACATATTCTTACTTTTACATCCATCTATATCTTAAAATGTGTTACTTTCACCAAAAAACATCTTACAATCCAGGGAAGCCACCATGGATATGGCACTAGAACAAATAACTTAGACTTACCAAAATACAAAACATCCACTTTCAAAAAATCTCCTTTTTACAACTGTGTCACTCTTTACAATGCACTACCAGTGTACATACATAAGAGATATACCTTCTTACTAAGACTTCAAAAGAAGTGTAAAACATTTTTTGATAAGCAATTGTTGTTATAATCTTGATGAATTCTTCTCCCTTTAGTTATAACTGATCATGTTCAGTTGAATATCTGTCTTTTGTATATAATTTTAAGCTGCTCATTGTCATTATACTGTTATTGTATTTTTATCTGTTATATGCTCTCTACTGTAATTTGACTCGTCTTTTGTACCTGCTATGTAATTCGAGGTCAAAATGAATACTCACTTACTTACTTAATCAAAATAAGTAAACACGAGCAATTTACTGAAAATGAAGGGTACCTACATTGATTATTATTAGTCTATAGAGGCTTTAATTGAGGTGAAGGAGGACTAAATTTAACTTAATTTATTCAAATTTGTACGCAGGGCAAGTATTTATCGGAGGTAAATTGATGAGCGAACCGAACATTAAACTCGTCGATGGTGAAGAACTTCCCAGCCCCCTGTACATCAAGGGCAAACGATTCTATGGTGGCCCTCAAATGATGCAACTTTCTCTGGATGGAAAAAGGTTGTACGTGAGCTCCAGCATTTTGTCTCCATGGGATCACCAGTTCTACCCCGAAATGGTTGAGAATGGTGGAAAAATTATCAAATTGGATATCGATACAGAGAATGGAGGAATGAAAGTGGACGAAAACTTTTTGGTTGATTTCGGCGAGGGTCCTGATGGTCCACTGTTGCCACATGAAATGAGGTGAGCCGATTTTTTTTCGTCTCTAAACATGTTTCGCTAACAATGTTAAACATCTTCAGAAGGATATCAAAACTAAATATCCAATGCTGAAATAGAGGCTTCGAGAGAGTTTATTAGTCTGGATTGAAACTAGGAAATTCAGTAGGCAAGAATATAGAGACATTTTTCGAGAAATCATCAGGAATTTACGAAATTGGTTATAATGATTGTGGAAGAATATATACTGGGTATTCCTTAATGTCATCTTGATTATATAAGGGGGCAATTCCTGGACCCATTTGAAGATACAAATTTCATATTAACGTTTGTCGATCGTTAACGTCCTAACTTTCGGGATACTAGGTATCAAAGTTGAAAATATTCATCGATTCTTCTTTGGCCATCCTGTTTGCCTTTTTGGAATGGCAATATTCAGTCTGTAATGTGACGGAAATAGTGAAAAAATTCCAGAATAGGAAACAGTATGTTTATGTGGATGATACTTGTAGTTCCCTGATGAATATTACATGTGGTGTACCACAAGGGTCAGTTTTGGGGCCAAATTTATTTTTAATTTACATCAACTCAATATATTTACTTCAAAATTTGAAGGAAAACTGAAATTATGTGCAGATGATACAACAATAATCTATACTTCGAAAGATTTTAACGATATCAATAATGATATTATGTGAAAATGATCCGAAACAAATATTATCTTGGCTAACGGCCAATTAGTTGACTCTTAATTATAGTAAATCTACGTATATGTACATCTCAAGAAGAACAACGAACATATTGAATAATACCCCAATATGTTTCAATAACAAATCCATTGAATATACAAATTTAACAAAATGTTTATAGGTCTTTATATTGATGAACAATTATCGTGGACTCTACTTATAAATCATTTGAGGAAAAAATTGAATCCCATTGCTGGTATTATATATAAAATTCGAAATTTCATTCCTGTCAGATACCTAAAGAGTAATTATTTCTGTCTTTATTATTCAAAATTACAATATCTAATATATATTTGGGGAAGTACAAATATTTCACGTTTGAAGCCTCTCATGGAATTACAAAATGAAACAATAAAGTGCATTTTCAATTTACCTTTTTTAGAATCAACTGTAAATCTATACAAACCTAAAGATCGACTTGCTAAATCTAGTTTCATTGAATAAACTCTAAATTTGTTGTTTTATTCTTTTTGTCCGGAAGGAATCGAAAATACCAAATTTGAATTTTAATGAAGTAAATACGATTCACGCCCATGAAACAAGTAAATTCAATTTATTGGTAGCGAATAATTATAAGTCAAATTTTGGTAAAAAATCAATATTCCATAATGGAATAATTTTAAATAACTCCCTCACCTAACGAGTTGAAGAACATTGGAAAAAGCAGAAAAATTCAAAATCAATTCAAAGAAATATCTACTCAGTTAACTTTCATTCCATATCTACTAATCATTCACAATTTCATTACTTGAAAGGGGTTATAATATTTTCATTTTTTTTTATGAAAAACAATAATTGTGCAATTATTATTGTTTCTAATCATTATGTTATATTGAATGTTGTTGTATATATCCCTATTGAAAACAATAATGTTTCTTGTGGCAAATTTCAATATCAGATTTTTTCTTGTACAAAATTGAAAGGCCAATTAAAGTGCTGTATGAAATTTGGAGAATCTCCTCCGTTGCTCACTTTTTAGTAGAAAAGAAACAATAATATCTCCCTAACGACGGCACTGGAAATCCGATAACCAACTCGTCGGAATATTTTCAATGTTTGTTAATTGTAGTATGTCAAGCATTTATCTGTATAGATACTGACTCATTTACTTCCATGTTGAAAGTATGATTTCCTATCAAAAATATTGATGAAAATTCGTGAGAAAGAATGTCATTCGAAAGAATTATTAAACGGAATCCTGATTGGAGATGAATCATTCGCATGTTTCATCTGAAACTAATCAGAGTGTTAGAGTGCTTTTGCTATTTTATCAGATTGCCTGACGAAAATTCGATCGATGACGTCACGACAGTGTCGCCATATTGATTTTAGAAATAATGTCTCCTTCACCGCAACTACAAAAATTAATGTTTACTTATTGTGATACGTCATTGAAAAGGGAAATTCAATGTTCGTTTTCATGAAAATAATAAGTTTCGAGGAACTAATACACACTGATATTCGAACACGAATAAAATTGCGATGAATATTTGGAATTGATACACCTATACCATGAATTCAAATTGCACTAACCCTCTTGAATTCAATTATCTTCATTCGTTTGAAATTCGTTGGTTGTGCATTTTACACGACACCGAAGAGCAGACGAAAGAACCTCATTAGGTATACCTATATCTTTCATTTAAATTCAAATGTCGAAAGTCTAATATAAAAAACAACTGAATGACGCCTTGGTCAATGATTCCTTTATGAACCAGTATAAGAAGCATTTTAGAATTGGATAATTAGTTTCAATCTTCTCCCGAAGATCCTAACATAGTGATGAAACAGTGTGTCTAAAATTATTGCCTCGATTTCAAGCCAGGTTTAGGTCATATCTTTCAATTTACATGAATTTACTTCGCACTGATGTCTCAGTTTATCAGCATTATTGTTGCCAGATACGAGGCCCTAAAAGGAGGATGACGATCCAACGTTGCCAAGTTATTATTATGGAGAGTTGGCAGAAAATCTAAATTTCCTCCAATGACTTCCATCTCCAAATGATATGTCACAGCCCTTTAAACATTGAAAATTTGAGGTTGTAGCTGCCTTCCATGTCTTCGTGATAATTTATGTTCAGATATGACGAATATGTCATGACTTATTAGTCATGACTGATCATGACACAAGCGTCTATAGCTATACCATTTCCCTCGGGGAGCCACTCTGTATTCCAAAGACGTAATATAAGGAAGGGAAATATCGTTTCTGCATAAGACAGGAGACTTTTTCTCAACAATCTAACCTAACTCGGCCTTAATAAACCTTCTTCTTGAGGAAAACAATAACAAAGAAGTCAACCATCGCAAGAATTGGACCCAAGCTACACATGGAAATGATGTAGCTATATAGACACTTGTTATCATAATTATGAGTTTTAAGACGATGTCTATTCAAATTGCCATCCTGATGATATTATAATGGAAGGCAGAGGGTAGGTAACTGCAAATCCAATTTTGAATATCTAAAGGGCTGTGATATATCATCTGAAGATGGAAATCATTTGAGTAAGGATCAGAAAATTATATTTGGCACTAACGCTTGATAATGATAACTTTTGGCAACGTTGGATCGGATTCCTTCTTCAAGGGCTTACCTGAAATGAAGCCGACTTTTATCGAGTGACGATAAATCAAAATTATTATGATAATTTTTATTTCAGATATCCGGGTGGAGACTGCACTTCTGATATATGGATGGCAAAGGACTGAAATTCCGCCATTATTCTCCAGTTTTTTTTAACATATACATATTATTTAGTAAACATTATATTGTGGCGTTTCATTTCATATCGTGTTTTCTTGTTTTTATAACAAACGCCTTGGATTTTTTGTTCTCAAGAATAGGTACGCGTATTAGACTGCTTGACAAATAAAGTGGTTCACGGTCCACCTGCGATACGAGTATCGTAAAGACTTATATTACGATATGAGATGGGAAATTTGTCAAACGAGGCCGAAGGCCGAGTTTGATACCTAATCGATTATCGTAATATGAGTTTATGATACGGATAGTACAATATTTTACCTACTACCAAAAAGCTAATTATTTATTAAAAAATATTCAATATTCCGAAATTTGATGAACAAATACATTAGTTTCGTTTGGTAAACGAGGGACCAGAAAAAGTGAGGTTAGGAAATCACAGCAAAGAAAATGCTCACAACTTGCTATAACATTGTTCTTGAATTCCACTTAACTAGGTACTCATACTCTCACAATATCAGATCACAATTTATTATCAATACCTATAATACAAGCACGAGTTATATTTTGGATGCAATTTGCATCAGTGCAGTTTCAGAACGTTGTGATACCAGAAAGTTCTTTAATTGATCCAGATTGTGATGACGCCGAGAATGCCCCAATTTTATCACGTTGATAGAAGGTATAATAAAACGAAGTCCTTTAACTGATTTCATTTGTGATGACGCCTGGGATGCATCAATTCTGTTACGTTGATAGAACGTATGATAAAACAAAGCACTTTAATCGATCTCCTTGGTAATGCGACGCCTGGGATGATGCCTCAATTTTTTCACGTTAATAGAACGTGTGATGAAACGAAGTTCTTTAATTGATGTCCTTCGTGATGACGCCTGGAATGCCTCAATATTATCACGTGGATAGAACGTGTGATGAAACAAAGTTCTTTAATTGATCCCTTTTGTGATGACGCCTGGGATGTCTCAATTTTATCACGTTGATAGAACGTGTGGTGAAACAAAGTTCTTCAATTATTGTTTCCTTCGTGATGACGCCTGGGAGGCCTCTAATTCATCACATTGATAGAACATGCGATAAAAGACTGATTGTTAGAAGTAACATGTTATTATTGTAGATGCATATATGCATATGTTTCAGAACGGTATGATGGAACAAAGTTCTTTGACTGATCTCTCTTGTGATAGAGCTGAGACATGAGTGGTTAACTGGGAAACTCTCATACTACCTTATCTTGTAATTTTGAAGTAAGTACTATCATATATATGCATATAAGCATATCATATTATATCGTTATGGATCTCGATGATCAGTTATAGACCTGCATATATATGGACCTTGAATTTTGTAATATTCACTAGGTTTTTGACAGATTTCAAAAGTAATTAGGATAATAATTCCTATGCATATGCATGAAATGCCGGCATACAGACTCTTACGGCACCATATCTCACAGTCGGCGCATTACCTACCTGAACGCTAGCGCCAACTAGCGTCGATTCCGTGAAACTCTGCGGCGGCGCGATCAAATTCAAAAGCCAGTCTTGAGTCTAGCAGTCAGTTTATCGAATGCGTTAGCAAGGCGAGGTGCTACAGTTGGTTGCGCGGTCGATACCACTAAATTCTGAACTGACCTCTATTGTGACCTCCTAAATTTAGTAAACATTGATGACAATAATTATCGGGGTGGTTCGCGAGTGTTCTTAGTGGTGGTGTCAATTCATAGATTTAATCTGAAAGGTGGGTTACCCTCTGTTTTGGTGGATTATTTCGTGCTGGGCACGAGAGACATTGTTTTTGTGGTTGCGGAGCTCCGTGAAGGGTTACGTGAAAGGATCAATATAGGACAATTATCAGCAGCCCACACAATCCACAATTTGATGGAAAATCCAGTGGGTTTGTGGGACATATCAAACGATGCTGGATTCAATGACTGAAGGAAATATCCGAGAATTACCTATTGTCAAAAAGTCTATTCCTAGGACTAAATTTATTTATTACAAACATTCCTGTCATGCATATGCCATGAATATGGTCGTAGGATTGTTGATTAATTCATGTGAGGCTATTTCACATTACTGAGTTCCTTTGGCAAGTGATGTGTATCAATATTATTTGCGGTTAGCCTACTGACCTATAGTTGAGGTTATGTAGTCTTCTTCACAAAAAAATATACGATAAAATTGTCTAAGCATAGGCCTCAACATAGGCATATTTCTGAAAAGTAATCAAACTTTGTCGAGGCGTTGAGATGATACCTACCTACCGCTACCTAACTACCCCGAGGGGACACGGCGGCAATAGATGTACAAAATGTTCGAAAATAAATGACAAAACATGGGGCATTATAGGCATTAGTGCTCGCATTAGTGGCATTATTTAAAGATGATCGGCGCTAAGCCGCTAAGAGACAATAACCGGCATTTATGAAAAAATGCATAAATCGAGGCATAAATAGACGGCAAGTCGTAGGTAGGAAATATTGGGCAATAGGTCGGAAATAATCAGGAATAAACGACACTGAATGACGTGAAAGCGAAATAATAAGGAGAGAGGTGTCATATTTTAGCATAAGGAAATTTCAAGGGTGTAAACCATCTTTATCACCTTTGTAAATCAATCGTAGGTATCTTTCTTAGGAGTGATATTTATACCCATGTCGTGAATTCGAAATACCTCAACTCCCAATATATTGTAATTTTAATGGGGTAACTCGTGAGGCAATGTAGAGAATGTACCTAGATATATTCTTGGTTCAAAACACACTGACCCTCGGATGTCGCTCGGATGTATCCGATGATGTATACCTAAACTTGGCTGGAAAAAATTGTCTTGTGAAATCATTCACACTCAATGATATATATTATCGGAGTTTCCTGGAAGGACATGAAAGTATGAAAATTTAATTACTGCATGAAGCGCAATAGGAATCAAAATATTTGAAGTGGGATAAAAATGATCTCAATTGAATAAGCTGTCTACTCGGCTGTCTACAATGAACAATAATAGGTATTCAAACAGAAAAGTCAGGTAGGTATAGCTGCATTCAGAATTAACCATTCTAGAACACGTGATTTTGACATGGTTTCTTGAGGGGCACACAAACTATTTGTTAGGTTACCTTTGATGAGCATAGCCCTGGCCATCCCTGCCACATCCACAATATGATAACAGTTTCACCAAAAAAATTATGAAATTCTTTCTGTTTCCAAATCGGATTCCAAGGAAAACGATCCCACTAATTCTGGTTTCATATGACAAATCTTGACAAAATTCAATGTTTGCCCCTCAGCAACCTGTCAAATAACGTAATTCTGGAATGATTAATAGGGAACCAAATGATGGTTTATTGACGATTATTTCACGTAATTAGGCGAAGTGAATAAGTCACAACTCGATGATGTCATATCAGTCACGTTCATTCTAGTCTGTCATTCGCCTTTTAGGCACCACGGTGATGTAGATATAACGTATTAATCTTGTCATGAGTCGTGGAAAAACCTTAACACAAGCCTAAAAATCGTATCATAGATACACCACGAACCTATGAATTGTTGTGACGTGATTGGTGGTGTCTCTCGTGTCTCATGTCCATTCAATGCTTACATTATTGAACGAAATCCACCAGAGTAATACGGTATGAAAACAACGAACAACGTCTCAGTAACGTCATTAATCGGTGGTGTGATGATAGTTCGGATAAAACTCGGATGAAAGTTCCTGACCAAGTTCCACCTAATTGGTACGCCTAGAATAGGTATAAATATATAATAGGTAAATGATGATCATGATCTTATCTTCTCATTCAGTATCATCAGGCCCGAGATCAGGCCTTTGTAGATCTTCACTGCAATTCTTCCTGTTTGCAAAGTACGATGAATATTTTGTTTGTGGTGCACTCCAAATCTTGAGATTTCTGATTGCTGATAATATTTTGGATACTATCAAATGAATCACTCGAGGAATCACTATTATTGACAACAACATCAACGGTTATATATCACTGCATCACAAATTGGGTATTCTGTGACTGCACAGAGGTCGCGAATCTTCAGAATCGCATATGATCAAGTTCGACCAATTTATCCGAACTCATCATAATTATTATATTGAATGTCATTCATTGATTGAAAAGTTCATTTCGAGCATTTCTTGACACCTCTCGATTCCCTTACTGACAAGACAGAGTCAGTTACGTATCTCAGTCGGAAAAACGATAATAGGTTAAACTTCGGCTTGAACCGGGTTAAACGTTGTTCACGAAATTGTAAAAAAATTGTAAAATTGTTCACGAAATGATGAAGCGAATGATTCGTTTCTATCGAAGTTTTTATGTTTCATACGGCATTATTGAGTTCATCGAGCCAGTTTTATCTGGAATTCTAAGAACATACAATATAATCGTTATTTGGAATTATTCATTATTTATAATGTATGCAAGCATAAGGCAAGTATGCAATTCCCGAAGCAAGTGCGATGAAATATAATGTGCAATAAAACCAAGAGATGAGTTTCTCATCGGGGTTCCGGAATTCTTTCATTTGAATAGTAATAGTATAATTGTGATACTCAAACGAGAAAAACAATCATTACGGAGCAGCAGAGGCAGTAAACCTACGAATTTCATTGAATTTTCATTAATCTTATTGTTGTTATTAACATAACATGTATCAACTTATATTGACACGTTTAATACGAGGACAAAATGATTAACAATAACTTCTTTGATTAAGTTCTGTTCGTTTTATACTCATGAGGTCACTGAACAGTGAACACACTCCAAGCAGCTGTGACATGACATGAACTATCGGAGAACATTGGCTTCGATGCTTGAAGAAAGATTAACAAAAATTCGCAAAAATTACTACTTACAATTTGTAAAATAAAATTTCAACATTTTAGTTAACTATTTGCGAAAAGTGGAACAAAGATAATTTGGCAAGACGACAATGTTATACTGGTGGGTGGATTGAACATGATGAAATGAGGTTTCTAAACGCCAATTTGATTGAGATCTTTTGAAAATTAGAATAAGCCGATTATCATTACAATATGGACATAGAGGTATTACATACGTACCTGCCGAGGTATCTGCTTTACTCAAATTTATGGAATGGGGTCGATAACTCCTGAATTATGTTTGCAAAAACTCAATAGGACTATTTGCTCATATTTGCTTGACCTCATCAACCCACCAAACATATTATACCTACATTGACCCTCACTGGCTAAGATTGATGTCACTTTGAAGTAAACAAGCCTCCTACTGGTGAAACCACAGTATTCATTAGTGTTTGCTACCAAGAATGTGCATGTCAAGAGGATTTTGTTTAAAGGACTTGAAGGAGCAATAGGATCCTTCAACACTATGAGGACACAATCAACACTATACCAATAAGTCCATCCTCGGTCCATCTATATCGAGATCGATATCGATGCTTGGCGATATGATATACTCATATATGATGACAACTCGACATGGCATATTGTCTTGACATAGCCAAGGACGTTTCTCAGAATCTATATCTTATGCAGCTAAGAAGTCGCCTCGGAAGTCGCTCAGTATTTCACTCCACAGCAGATTTCGTCACCCTACAAAGCTCAAGAGATGGTCAACTCTTGAGTACTGTTCGAATGATCTTTGTTCACTTAACACGACTGGCTCAAGCGAGGGCTCAAGTATACCAGCCAACTCAGTACAAAATATTATGCATGCCACTTTGGAATTTATTATACCTATGGATATCTTCTCGAGTAGAAGATCCACGGTTTCATAGGTGCAAACTATTTCAAGCAATTCTATGAGTATAAGAAATCTGTCATGATATATTGTACTTAGGCATCCGAACCAACGATATGTAGATGGGTACAAAAAAATCGACAGGAACTGTGTGTAATTAACCCTTTTTTGATGCTCTCCACATTGTCACACGCTTCGCTTATTGGGCAGAGATCGGTTCAGATTAAACCAGGATATACATCTACTTGAAGGGTAAGATAGTCGAAGGCTGGATGGCACGATACCATCAATTAGAAACCTACACTCACTTCTAATAGTATAGCCTGGGATATAGCCCTATTATGGGAGCCTTGGACAAATAATACGGAAGAAAATATGATGAAAGAGTTGTTCTAGGAGGTCCTAGTGATCAAGAATGTGTATGGGTTTAGTGTTGACAGCAAGTCGAGGGTTTTGTTCTTGTTACAGACTTCAATTGAATCATTAGAACATCAAGGAGACTCTTGATATCTAGTGAAGGCATCGAAACATACACACCATACCTGATATAATAAGATCGTGGCAATCGACTTTCGGAGGATTAGATAATACATCCTGATAATGATTTCTGGGGTGTGGACAGCAGCTTTTCCTAAAGTCCATGAAAGTTTTTGATATCATATAAGTTATTACATCTGGGTTGTTGCATCTGAGACTCTGTATGTTGATTTCCAGAACTGGAAAAGTACATCCTCTCACTAGTTTTCATAACCTTAAGCGGATTAACTGGCACCCACAGCGATAAAACGTTTTCTTTGATAATATTCGACGATCAGTGCTAATTTTTCAGTGGGACCAGTTGTCAAACACTTCGAATATTAATTTATGGGTTCCGACCACTTCGATATCTGTAAGGAAATATCAATATGTTGTAACTGTAACCATTTTTCTGATGTCTGATGCAGCTATGGGATGCAGGAACTCTCACGAGTCACGAAGATGCCATGCACCTATATTATTA